ATTGGAAAATCTGAGTCAAAGGCAGACTTTGTCCTGATCCACAAATGAACATAAATGTCCTCGGCTTTCTCCATCATGATTGCACCATTTATATTTTTCCTGCCTTGAGGTTGGCGTGGGTGTGTGGAGAGCAGAGCAGTAGACAGTGATGTCTCGGGAGCCGGGCAGACTGGATTTGGGCTAAAACAAATCTCCATGTTCTAGGTGTGCGTCCTTGGGGTGCTTACTTGGGGGTCTTTGAGGCTCAGCTCCCTCATCTAGAAACTGGGAATATTATTATTATTGTTGTTATTATAAGAAAATAACAATAGCAATGATGCTCACTTATGGATGTGGCGAAGGTGAATGGTTAAACCAGTGTTCAACATGGCTCTGCCATGGTCACCATCTTCATTGTCATCACCGTTACCAGCAGGTCACCTTCGTCATCACCACCATCATCGTCACTGTCTTCACTAATGCTTTCATCATCACCATTATCACTGCCACCATCACCATGATCTCTGCCATCATCTCCGCGACCATTATTACTACCACCTTCTGCATCATCATAACCACGATCACAGTCACCACCATCACTACCACCCAGCATCATCACCACCACCATGATTGTCACCATCACCACCACCACCTTCATCACCATCAACCGTTACCATCACCACCACCACTGCCATCATCCCAATCACCATGTCACCATCACCATCATCACCATCGTCACCACTATCATTGTCATCATCTCCATCAACTCTATCACCTCCACCATCATCACCATTGGCACCACCATTGTTGTCTTCATTGTCGTCTCCATCAACTCTATCGCCTCTGTCACCACCCCCTCACCACCATCACCCATATTATCCTCATCATCGAGACGCTGAGATCCCTGAGGGTTAGATCCGCACTGATCACCTGCACCCCTTCCCTACCTGCTGAGGTGCTGGTGAGAACCCAGCGAGCAGGGACAGGTGTTTCTCCAGCAGCCCTGACGTAGACATGGAACTGGCTGGGGCTGGGGTCCTGACACACTGCTGGTGTCTGCGTCCTCCTGGTGCTTTCTGTGAGCAACTTAGCAAAATCGCTCACCACTCAGAAAGAACATCCCTAGCAAGTGACAATGAGCATCCATCTCATGGGGACGAATGAGGCACACCACTTCTCAGCAGAGCTTTTCTTCACTAAGGGTCTCCCTGGTGAGGCACAGATGGTCTTCAGAGCTCCACCTGCCAGGTGTGTCTCTGTTCCATATTTGGCTCTCGGCCTTTCCTTATTTGGGGGCCTCCACCTGGCATTCCCACCCCATCACACCTTGGACAGTGACTCTGGTGTCTCATACCTACCTGCTGCTTCCTCTGTTTCCAGAGCATCATGTTCAGTGTTTATTTCTACCTCTGTCCTATCAGCAGAGAGCTGGCAATGTGTCTTTCACCACTGCAAGTAGTGGCCTGGGGCTGCGTTGCTCCTTATTGTGTCTGTGGCTCCCCACACTCATTCCTGCATTTATCCATTCTTCAAGTAACGCTCACTTGTGCTGCGTCAGGACCATTCTTGGAACTGGGGTTTTCCTGACTGAGGTGCTTGGGAAGTGGGGCCGAGTCAGTGATGGGTGACTAAAGAAGTGAAGGGGGATAGTAGAGTGGTTTCTGAGCTCCTGAGCTATGAACGGGTACCAACATCCACGATGTGTGAAAGGAAGCCTTTCCCCAGGAGCTGGGGCTCCTGGCTGACCTCTAGTCTCGGAGAGACGCTGCTACCACTTCTGCTGCCATGATCAGTGACAGAGTGACAGGTGATGTAACGTGTTTGTCGGTTCCCTTGCCGCCATAACCAACCTCATGCTGTGTGGCTTAACCTACAGATGTCTTGTCTCACACTTCTGAGCTGGAAGTCCAAGATGAAGGTGTCGGCAGGGCTGGTTTCCCTGGACACCGTGAAGGAGAATCTGCCGGTCCTTGGCTTATAGGAGCGTTGTCCAGCTCCACCTGCATCTTCCCGTGGCCTCCTCCCTGGGCCCCTGCTGCTGTTTCTAAATCTCCCTGTCTATAAGGACACGGTCTTGGGTGAGGGCCGCCCTTCTCCAGGCTGCTTCATCTCACCTTCATCCCGTCCGCAGAGACACCATTTCAAGTAGGTCACATCACAGGGTAAGGGGGCTGGAACTTGACTGTCTTCTCAGGGGACACAATTCGACCAGGACACATGCACTATCTGTGTGGCCCTGCAAGCTACATAGAGGCCCACCCGCTCCTTCTAGAAATTTCTCCTTGGGGCACACTTGCTGTTTTTTGAAGCAGGGTATTTTTTTTTTTTTAGAATATATTTGTTGTACAAGGGGATTCATTGTGACAATTCCAAATTGGCTTATATTGTACCTTGGTTATATCACCCCCATCATCTCCCCCCATCCCCTCCCCGCCCCACTTAGATCAATTGCAAGAGATTTCTTTGTTCTATTTCGTATAAGTACATGAAATCCATCAACCATATATCGTCACTAATCTCCTTCCTTCACCCTCCCCCTCCCGTTAGTCCCCCACGTTACCTACTTTACAATTCTGTCTTTCATTATTAGTATTTGAGTTGATGTTCAGAGGGGTTTCTCAGTGTGTCCCCGCTGTGAGTCTACTTTACTTTGGTCTCTTTGGCCCCATCCATTTCTCTCCCTTCCCCCTTCCCCCCATCCCCTTTCTCAACAGCTTTCGGTGCCCATCCTTGTGTCCTCTACCTTCACAGATGTCATGTCTTACGAGATTACCGATGCTCTGTCATTCTCCTTTCCTTCCCCGAGTTCCACAGAGCAGCTGCACGGTTACACTCATGTTCTGCGTATGAGTTTGTGTGTGGCCATGCTTGTTTCTGTGTAGATGTTTATCTTTTGGACCTGTCTTCCACGGCCATGTCTCTCTGATCCTGCTCACTTCACTTCCCATGGTGTCCTCCGATTGCGTCCGTTGACCTTCAAGCCACATGTTACCATTCCTTATGGCTGAGTAAAACTCCTGCGTGCATACACCCCAATTTCTTGATCCATTTGCCAGTCGCAAGGCACCTGGGTTGTTTCCACGGCGTGGCCGTTGTGGACAGTGCCGAAGCGGGTTGTTTTGCTGTGCAGCGTCGGTTTCCAAAGTACAAAGGCACCGACTCAGCATCACCGTCCTGCCCACCAGATGACAGTGGACACCAGACTTTGTGTCACTTACAAGGGCACGCGAGTCCCCTGGGAGGTGACGCAGAGCCCCTCCCACACTTGCTAGTTGGCAGGATGTTCCCTGTGGGCTGCAGGGGAGATTCCAGGCATTCTGCAATGCTAGTATCTAAGGGAACCTGAGTTGGGGTGGCCAGCGGTGTCACTGCAACCTGAGGTCAGCGTTGATTCCTGAACAGGCAGCCCCACCTGGCTGTGTCTGATATTGCTCCTTTGTTACACCTGGATTTCCAGAAAGTTCTCACTCATCCCAGGATGGAGCAGAGGCTGGAGTCCTGGCCACCATGTGGCCTGGGGAGGGTTGAGAGTCACAAAGGCTGAAGCCTTTGACTCGGGAGAGGGACAAACAGGAGTGTTCAAGCACAGGCCTTCACCTTCCCTGGCCAGGGTATAGGTGTGTGTGTGTGACAGGGTGGAGCTGGCCGCAGAACCAGCCTCATTGTTGACAGCGGCTGGGTCAGTTTCCAGCCATGAGAACTTACCCAGGCTCCCTTGCTCTGGGGGCAGTGTGCACCACTATATACAGAACCCAAGTTCCGGTCCTGTATTCAGTCAACAAACCTCATTCTTTTCTGGATGCCTTTACGGTGGGAAAGGCAAATTTTTGCACCCCTGCTGATGGCCGTACAGTAGGATATAATTTTAATTCGACAAAAATTGCAAGTCTTGGTCAGACGAGGTCTGGTCCAGTCTTTACTTTTCCTGGCTCACTGATGAGTCACACAGAGGTACCTGGGAACCTGCCCGTGCTGTGGTCATTCGGTCTTCATAGGCGCTGCGGTTGTGAAGTATGAGGCCCAGTTGGCACTGATTAACTTTCCCAGGCATTAGCTCTTGCAGAACTGATTTGATCTCCCGTCAAACCGCTTCTCATGGCTGCCTCCCGCCTTCCTCTGGGAGCGTTAGCAGCGTGTACGGTTTCAAAGCTGGCATGCGTGGGAGACGATGCGTGTGTCCTGCGTCCTCCTGTCAGTGAACTTGTAAGCCACGGCGCCCACCCGTGTCTGAGATGCCGGGAGCGCTGCGTGTAGAAACGAAGTCACGCGTGGCCCTCTGCGCCCACGGTTCCATGTGCCCAGATGGAAAAGATTCGTGTGCTCTGAACAGGTGCAGACCTTTGTTGTCACTGTTCCCAACAGTGCAGGGTGACAAGTACTCACGGAGCACGCACGCCGCATTGGGTATCGTAAGCAACAACGCATGACTTAAGACGCAGGAGGAGACATGATTTTAACACACGTGCAGGGGACATGCAAATGCCGTCATGCCCGACACAAGGGGCTCGAGCTGAGCGCTCGTGCGTTTGGAAATTCACAGGGTCCTGGGACCCCAGGGATTCTGATGGGCCACTGTCCTCGAGATGTCATTCTTGATGTGTCCCCAGACCAGCTGCAACAGCGTGAGATAGTGGGCGCCACTTGTGCCCAGGTCCGGGGTGCACTGAGTCAGCCGCTTTGCGTGTGGTGTGCGTGTGTGGTGTGTGTGTGTTGGGGTGGGGTCACCAGCTGTGCTGTGTAAACTGAAATGTGTGGGAGGCGCTGTGGTGGCAGACTTGCCCTGAGGCTACCGTTGGCCACCGTGAGCAGGAAAGCACTGCAGGCGCCAGGGCCGTGCGTTTTGTGCTCACCACCTGCCTCTGTCCTAGCAACAGCAGGCTTCACTTTGCAGCCAGCCAGTCATGGAGTCCCGTGTTCAGAACAGCTTGTAGGAGGGCTGGAAGCAGCCTGCACACCTCTGGCCCTGTGGGTGTCTCTGTGGCCTCCAGCATCCCTGACCCATGTCTCCGTCCCTTCTGTAGAAGTGCATTCGCTTTAATCCAGAAGCCACAGTGTGGGTGGCGAAGCAACGAATCCTGTGCACTTTGAATCAGGGGCTGAAGGACGTCCTCAACTACGGGCTCTTCCAGCCAGCCAGCAACGGGCGGGACGGCAAGTTCCTGGACGAGGAGCGGCTGCTGTGCGAGTACCCACAGCCCACGGGCCAGGGCGTGCCCTCCCTAGAGGTACCTCGGCTGTGTGTGCATGCGTGAGGGATGGTGCTGTGCAGCCTGGGTGGGCATGGAGGGCGGCCCCTTATCCAGGCTCCCAATTTTATTTGGACTGGAAGGTGAGGTTATCAACTCCCTCCCCAGCCCTCTCCTCACCCTCCCCTGTCAGGGGTCAGAGGCCATCTCAATAGCATACCAAAGATACTTTCATCACCCAGGGTGTTCCAGGAGTTTGAGGACAAAGACCACACATCACTAGGTTACACTCCCCGAACCCAGTTCCATGTGCTGGCCAGGAAGGAGGGTGGCCAGTGGCCATGCAGCTGTTATCAGACCACAGCCTCTTGTCCTCCTCCCGCCCAGGGAGCGACCACTGGGCTCTGCAGCGGCTGCAGTCATTCCATGCTACTGGCTTCTCCCTGGTCCATGCCCAGGTGAGGCTGCCTGAGCACCTTGACGTAAAGCCCAATCCTGTCCTGCCTTCTCCCCGGCTCACTGCACCCCCAATTTACCTGAGCACTTCCAACAGATACACGGTGGGTTAGGTGAGTTATAGAAGTGGCTGGAAATGTGGGTGTCTCTGGTGTGAGGTGACTGTGGGCACAACAGTGCACCAAGAAGAAGCTGAGTGTGGCATTGCAGCTGGCGCCCAATGGGTCCTACAGTGTCTGCAGCCATGGAGCTGACAAGTTTGCAATGTCACGGACAGGAATTCAGAGCCAGGGCGAGGTCCTGGATTCATCAGGGCTGTGAGGCTGAGCTTAATGGATGTCCGTTTATGCAGAACACGAGGAGCAGGGGCAGGGTGCCAGGGAGGGAAAGCTGGACGTCCCTTGGGAGCTGTGTGGTTCTGGGCAAATAACCCAGCTGTTCTGGCCCCAGTGTGCTCACCTGTACAATGGGCATCCATTGGGAAAAAAATCTCTCACCGGTGTTTTGCTACACGTAGACACTTCCCTGGCACATCCAACATGCACAGAAAGCCATTTTTTTGGTCACATGGAGGAGGTGGCAGTTCAGGAATAGTGAATAAGCACAGTTAGTGCCTTTCTGTCTGTCTGTCGTCTGTCTCTCTCTCTCGTGGGGCTGGGGATCAAACCCAAGGTCTTGTGGCTGCTGAGCTACACCTCTATAGTCTATTCTTGATCTGGTCCCAGTCTAGGAGCCGTGCAGCCTTGAGTGAGGCACCCAGCTGCTCTGAGCCTCAGACTCCCAGGAGTGAAATCGGGAATGTAGCACTGGGGACATCAGTAGTGCTGCCTGTAAGAGGAGACATTCCCCCAAGCAGTACCCCAGTGTCCTGGCCGCCTGGGGGCATTGCGGTTGCTGCCCTAACTGGTTCTCATCCTCATAAATTACTGGTCCTTGCACCTTTCCTTTCTCAGGGCTGAATCATTAGGGGTGGGCTTAGTCTCATTCTTTGCTGGGTGGCCACTTAGAAAACTGAGAAAACATAGGAAAGGGATTTGTGGTTCTGAACCCATGTCCTCTGTAGCCACGAGCTGTCAGTGTTTGTGACTCTAGGAATATAGATAATTTACTCTCCTACCAAGGTGCGATATCAGCTCTGCGTGTTGTTTCACAAGTAGACAAAGTGTCCACTGAATCAGGCTCCTTTGGACTTCCACCTTAGCCACGTGACACGAGCCTGTGACATGTGCACCAGAGATGGATGGATAGAGGCAGGAATGAGGGGAAGGAGTTTCACAGCAGTCCCAGGATACAGGACACCCAGGGCGCGACTGTCCTGGAGGAATCTGGAAGCAGGTGTGGACATCCTGGGCCTGGAGCTCCTCCCACCAGTTCCACCCTGGCAGCCGGGCAGGTGTGGTTCGTGACCAGCTCGTGTCTCAGGCAGCTCCATGCAGCCTGAGTTCTGTGGTGTCCTCATTTCACAACTGGCTTTTTTATTTTGGCACCTAAGTGAAAGCACATTTTGGTCTGAGCCCAAGGAGAATTTTGTCTGCTGTCAGTTGCTGTTTTGTGGAGTGGAGGGGAGTAGAGCAAGGCCATCTCTGGGGGACTCCACATGTGATCAGACTTTAGTCTTGGCCCAGGCTCATGGCTGCCTGCTCCACACCCTCATTTGTCTTAGGAACATGCTTCTTGGGGTGTGGGGGTCTCAGGGGAGGCGTGAGGGAGGATGAAGTCACCGGCGTGCACTCCCAGCTCTGCTCAGGAAGCTCACATTCCACCCTCCGGCCACCATAGATGTGATGCTGTCTCCATGGGACAGATAGGGAAACGGAGGCCAAGGCAGGGAAAATATCCAGCCCAGAGTTAACTGAGAGAATAGGTGAGCAGTCGGGGTGAAATTAGGTCAAATGCTTCCGCTCAAAATCTGCAGCCAGCCCTCACACGTGCAGCATCCTCCCCAAACCTTGTGTAGCCTCACACAAGGGCCAGAGTTGCCTTAGAGAGGGAGGGGCATTACAGAAAGGTACCAGGGCCGCGAAGCAGGACATGACTTCGCCTTGTTCTGGGGAATTATCACTACATCTGAGCCAACATGGTCTGTGACACAACTGCCAACTTCCAACGAGGCACCGCTGTTCTGAGGGAAGGGGTAAGAGCCCCAAAGTCTTCAGTAGATGGGTGCATGGAAGTGGGGGCCTCACCAGCCCGGGCTACTCTTGCTGGTCCTGACAGGTGGATGACACAGAGAAACGCAGAGTTTGAGGCACTTCCTCGCCTGGTGCACTAAGGGCGGTGGATTCACAAGTACAGAACAGAATCACCCAGTGAACTGGTTCTTAAGAGGCCGCGGACTCTGCAAGTACAAACACGAGTAGTTTATTTAGCATTCAAGCTTGCTGTGGAGGTCCTGTCTTTAGTGAATAGCCAGGGAAAAGGCCACTTTTCCTCTGGTCATCCATGTCTTGCATTTACTCATTTGCCTTCCTTTTTCTGTCTCCATGACAGTTTCGATACAAGAAGCGGGTGTACAAACAGTCCAACCTGGATGAGAAGCAGCTGACCAAGCTCCACACCAAGGTACAAGGGGCACGGCTCTTATTTGCACTCTGCCGTGTGTAGATAAAGATGTGTTTGTGAATTTAATGAAAAATGTCCATTAGTAAATAGCGGTCAAGGTTTTCAGGATATCTTGTGTCTGGGCATTTGTTCTAATCCTGGATGGTATAGGAGACATTCAGGTGGAAATCCAGTCCGCGGCAGGTGACTGCAGGGTTCAAGGGCATCCTGAGTTGGAAACCATGATTGCTCCCATTCTGTGTTTTGGGACAGGTATAGAGCAGGGTGAGAACTGAGCCCGTGAGAATGGCTGGGCTCATCAGAGGGGTTGTGGCTTCTTGTAGTTTGGGGGTGTGGGGTTGGGGGGCGGCGCAGCAGGCCAAGCGTCTGCTGGAGGCAGGAAACCGTCACTTCTCTAACAGAGGTAGTGGAAGCAGTGGCTCCCTCCCTGCCAAGGTCAAGAGTCTGACCAGTATAATCTTGTGAGCAATGAACGACTCCCTTCACCCCGGATTCCATGCCCTGTGGTCCTGGGCAAACCAGAAGGTGCCTTGTTTGAAGGAGTGGCTGCCCTGTTTCTCTTTGGAAGTGCGATTTCCAGGCCTCGATTCCCAGGATGGAGTCAGAAAGTCTGGGAGGGTCCTGGAGCTGCAGACTCTTAAGTGCTTCTGCTGACCCATCCTTTCCACAGAGCAGGGACGACTAACTATTGCTCTCAGCGAGGCGGGATCTGCTCTTGCTGCTCTCACAAAGACCCTTGGGTAACTTGTAAACGACACATCTATTTCTCACCGTTCCAGAGGCCGTGGGCATCCAAGGTCAAGGTGCCAGCAGATTTGGTGTCTGGAAGGGCCCACAGCACAACTCATAGATGGCATCATCTCACTGGTGGGGGAGGGGCAAGGAGCTCCCTGGGGCCTCCACTTATTCTCCAGGCCCCACCCTCCTGACCTAATGGCCTCCCAGAGGTGTTCCTTTAAACTGGGACGAGGGTTTATTACATGAATTTTGGAGGGACAGAGAGAGGCAGACCATGGCACAGCAGTGGTGACCAGTGAAGACTTTCTGAAACATTCACACGGGACAGGACCATGGTGTTGCCTGTGTATTAACCCCATACTCGTTCCTGGGTTGGCAGTGGCCTTCCATAGAGGCAGGCAGTGCACGTCAGTGAGGACTTGCCCTTGGCCCACAAAGACACCTCTCATAAAGACATTTCTGTTCAACCTTTCTCTGCCTAGACCAATCTGAAAAAATTCATGGACCATACTCAGCATCGATCGGTGGAGAAACTGGCCAAGCTGCTGGACCGTGGCCTGGACCCCAATTTCCATGACCTGGACACTGGAGGTGGGTCCCTGTCAGAGGGCCATCACTGGACTGGAGTGAAGTGTGCAAAGTCACTCTATGGTTCAGGTTACGTGTGGGAGCCATGCAGGGCTTACCTTGTACCTGGTTTCACTCAAACTTTGAAGTCCTCACACCCTCACTCCTGTGACTTCCCAGGTTGAAGGCCTGAGTGTTTTACACTCCCCCTTCTGCCCCAACTTCTAGTAAGATGCCTGTACACAGTAGGTGCATAATTGCTGAATGAATGAGTGAGTGGGTGAGCAGATGTCTGTCATGCATGTGTGCTGGCCCCAGGCACCTAGCAGAGCCCCCACGCTGGCAGTGTGCATCGCCCCCACTACCTGGGGCTGGCATGCTTGCAGACAGACATGCGGACACGCGGACACGAGCACGCATGGGTGTTGCTCCCCCTGCTGGACACCGAGTGCATTGCGAGTAGAGCCTCCTTGGGAGAAGTCGCTCTGGCTCTGGTGGTTCTGGGAAAGAAGCTGTAGCTGTGCTTGACCCCTAGATGCTAGTACCCACCTCACATGGGACACCTAAAGTGCCTCCCAGTGCGTCCCCAGGTGGGGCACAGTCTCCCATGGCAGTGGGATACCTGCTGAGCACGGCTGGCAGAAGGAGGGCACTGTGGGGAGCCAAGAGCTGCTCAGGTGGGTGTCTCCACAGCAGCCGGTCAGGTAAGTTATTCCGCGCTGGGTGGCTTTCCTCTTGGACTCAGCAGTGGAGACTCCCTGCTCCTCCTGGGATGGCCTGACCTGCTGTCCTCTGTGTGACTTTGTGTCACACCTCACAGTTAGTCACTAAGCACACAAGAAATGGATGTGTCTTGGGAAGTGTGGCACTTGCTTGTCACCTGTGGGAGCCCCAGCAGCCCCTCAAACGCCATGCCCCTTCATGTGCTGATCCAGCCAGGCAGTCCGTCTGAGCACCGTGTGCAGGGCCGAGGTTGCCTCTTTGCTCTGGGTCTCTTGTTTAACCGTGTGCAGCATGAGCGGGGAGAAGGATCTTTTCTGATGGCAGCTGTGACACCCGAGACATCAGGAGACAAAAATCACACCGTGCACCCTGGGGAGGGACTGGAGAGGTGTGTGTTGGGGGGAGTGACAAGTCTCCACCTGCAGCCTCAGGGGCCTGGCTCTGCCCTTTCTGGGCCTTTCTTCTCTTGCTGCACCCCGTGGATTTGGCTGCTTCTCTCTACACTGGTTCCCTGTTCTGCAAAGGCAGATGTGGTGACATGTGGCTCTGACACTCAAGTTAGAAAAGTAGGTGGAGCCAGGCATGGCCGCTCATGCCTGTAATCCCAGTATTGGAGAGGCTGGGGCAGGAGGATTGGGAATTCAAGGCCAGTCTGGGCTACACAGTGAGACCACATGTCAAACTAAGAGAAAATAATGAAAGAAGGGCTGGGAAGTGTAGCTCAGTGGTACAGAAATAGCCTAGTATGCACAAGGTCCTGGGTTCAAATGCCAGCACCACAAGAAAAAAATATGTAGATGGAGCTATGTGGTCCCAAGCATGAACTTGAAGAAGGTTCACTCACAGATGACCTGCTGCCAGGCCTGAGTCTCTAGCCTCCAGTTCCCTGACCTCTCTCCTGGCTTTTGGCCTGGGTGGCAAGCTGCCCGGGTCCCTGTGCTGGCCTCATCATGGCTGGGCCTGGGCACTCTGGGCTGCCCTTTTCTTCTCAGTGCCAGCCCTCTAATGAGCTCTGCCAGTCCTGAGATGGTTTCTGATGGTCTCTCTGCACTGATGTCTCCCAGGCTTAATGGTTTTGAAATGACTGCCTTTCCAGAGCAGACCTTGACTTAGCTTCTGAAAACACAGAGAGACCCTGATCTGTTTGAAACAGAGGCTGCTTCTCTTGCCCCTTCTGGAGTTAAAAGTTGGGTCATTGTAATTGTGGGCTGGGTTGGTGACCCAGTTTAAATCCTCCATGGTGGTGGTGAGCCAGCAAGCAGCAGGTGATTAAGGAATGGTACAGACAGAAGCAGCCCTTCCTCACCTGAGCACTGAGCAGAAGTGACCTTGGAGCTCAGGGCGGGGGGAGGGGGGTGGCATGGGACTGTCTTCTGTGTTCCCTAGGATGCATTTGGCTGTCATGTCTCTGAGTTCCATGTCCTTGGATTCAACCAACCAGGGATTGAAAATATCTGGGAAAAAATTGTGTCTGCCCTAAACATGTATAGACTATTCTCTTTGTCACTGTCCCTAAAGATTACAACTTCTTACCTAGCGTTTGCATTGTATCAGGTGTCAAGTCATCTAGAGTGATTTAGAGCATACAGGAGGGTGTGTGTAGGTTCTGTGTAAACCCGCGCCACTTCACGTGAGGAACTGAAGCATCTGTGCATTTTGGCGCCCCAGCCCCTCAAATGCCGAGGACATGCGGGTTCCTGTGACTGCAGGCTGGCCTAGCTGACTGATGAAAACAGCAAAGCTCGGGAGAAACAGCTGCTCCGCTGGCCGATGCCTGCCAAATGGGTCCCGACGGCGAGCTCCCGACCTAGGATAGAGAGCTATTCCAGGGTCTCCTGCAAAGGCGGGACCTGTGCAACCTCAGCAAGTCAGGTCTGGGGCCTCCGGACAGAGCGTGACACCTAGGGGCAGGAGCCCCTGCTTGTGGGCCTGAGCCCTGCCTCACACCAGTTCACAGGCTCCAGCGGAGCGGTGGGGGGCTGTTTTGGTTTGGTTTGGGTCTTGGCAGAAATCAATATTTCTTATTTTAAAATTAAAAACAGTTGTGGTGTCAGCTGTCCCATGGTGGTTGTCACATGGTAATTTTCAACGTCAGATTTTCGTCTTGTGGTCATTAATATTCCTCGGTAAATCAGGACTTTCCAACGTTCCCCCCACCCCAGTGGATGCTCTCTGTGTTTTGAATCTGGTAGACTTTGTTTTTAGGCTAGTTGAGGTTTATAGGAAGTCAGTTGCAAAGTGCAGAGTTCCCACGTGGAGCGGCCCCCTCCCTTCCCCTGTTGACATCTTGCTGTGTGGTGTTTGTTGTCGTTACTAAGTGGATGTTGCTGTGGACACCGCTGTATACCTGTAGATGTATGTATATAATTTATGCTTATTTATACATTATACACCATTATACACACTTTGTCATATATAACATATATTAAATATGTTATTTATTTACAAGTAGAATTTACATATAATTTTATACTATATGTTATACACATTTGTATATATTTATATAATTCATATATTATAAAACATAAATGTATTTATATACTTACGTGATCTATGTATATTATATATAATACATATATTTATATATAATATAAGTATTTATACATATTATATATATTTATACATAGTCTCTCTATAACTTTTTTTTAGACAGGATCTTGCTATGTAGCCTCCTGAGTGCTGAGATTATAGGCCTGCTCACCACAGCTGGTGATACGTCACTATTCACTAGAGCCTCTAGTTTACTTTAGGGCTCACTGTTGATGTCACACAGCCTGTGGGTTTGAACAACCATGGAGGGTTCTGTGACTGCCTTCACAGCATCATACAGTGTGGTATCACTGCCCTGAGTATCCCTGTGCTCACCTGTTCACCCTTCCTCCCCTATAACCCTGGCAACCACAGGTGTCTTTTCTGTGTCCGTAGTTCTGCCTTTTCCAGGATGTCATGGTGCTAGAATCACATGGTTTGTAGTCGTTTTATGCTGGCTTCTCTCATTTAACAATATGCATTAAGATTCCTCCATGTTGGATTGGAGGCCTGGCTCCAGTGGTACAGCGCCTGCCTAGGAAGCGTAAAACCCTGAGTACTGAGTACTGAGTAAGCCTCAGTACAGCCCAAAGCAAAGAGCAACAACAAAGATTCCCCCATGTCTTTTACGGCTGGATTACTCTGTTCTTTTCAGTGTTGAATGATGTGTGTCTCTGTCTGGACGTACCACAGTGTAGGTAGTCAAGTTTGGTTATGATTTAAGCTGCCATAGACACCTGCGTGCAGTTTTAAAAGCTACACTAAACATTTGGGGGCTAGGAAAAATGGGAAAGATACAGTGAAGGCAGAAAGGTCTCAGATCACCTGCCAACTCCATGCCCTGGCACCCTCCCACAGCACCACCCCACTGTCCCTGTCTTAAGGATTCCCATTTAATTCCCTAAATCCAGAGAGATTGTGAGCGGGGAAGGTGGGAACCAAGGACGATGAGCAAGATGAGAAAAGTGCTCAAGGGATGGATGTTCTCAGGAATGAACCAAATTGTGGGCAATTCCAGCTTCCCCAGCTCTACCTGGCAGGATGTGCCCGAGAGCACATGCCCAGCACAAGCCAGAGCCAGACGCTTGCTCACCCACTCTTCACCTCGGTCAAAATGGAGTGTCAGGGACCCACTTATCCTCCTGCCTGAGATGTTCAGCCCTGTGGCACAGCAGGGGTGGGGTGGAGTCGGCACTGCTGGAGACCCGGGCAGTGGTGATGCAGGACCACGGGCCTTAAACCCCAGAACCTGGGTCAGCATCCAGGCCTGAGAGCCTCCAACCCTGGCCTCTCTGCAGCTGGCTGTGTGAAGACCAGGCTGATGGATCTGTCTGAACCTCAGTCTCCTGGCAACCAGTGGGACACTCATCCCCACAGGACAGGAGATGTGAGCCTCAGATGAGTGATGGGTGTGTGATTTCTTCATCCTCAGCTTCAGCTGTAGACACGCACCTGTGCCGTTTTATGTGTGTTGAGGATGCAGAAGGAGAGACGTAAGAGGGAAGGGGCCTGGTGGGCCACCTCCAGGTACTGAACCAGGCAGCCAGCATGTCCAGGTTTCCAGGCGCTGCCCTTGTTTTAGCACCAAAGGTCCCACATCCCTCAATCCCAGGCAAACTGACACTATTGTCCCCATTAGTAAAAAGAGCACTTAACAATGACAGCTGCAGCTCAACCACCAACCCTGCCCCCACAAAGTGCAGGGCCTGGCAACCTCACAGCCCTGAGCTGGGCACCTCCTGCAGCGGAGCCTCCATGGGCACCTGAGCTCG